TGTGTGTGTTGGGCTCTGGTGCAGGAAGGTACATGGTTCTGGCACAAAAGCAGGTTCAATTGACTGAAATGTGTGCGAGCGACTGTGTGTGTGTGTGCGAGGTTTGAACTCTGCCCCCGCGAGGAGGCCTGTTCTTTAAATCTGTTGGGATCAATTCCAGCTCGCTGCCTTAATGTCGGCGGAGTAGCTCTCAAAGCAGAGAAATAGATTTTTGGCCTGAACTCTTCCCACCAGGCTTCTCTTCCTCTAGTCCTAATTCTCCCAATCATCGCCGGCTCTTCCACTTGCTTCGCTCTGTGTTCTCTCGTTTGGTTCCTTTCTTTCTTCTCCTTCCGTCTTTTGGCCTCTTTTCCTTTTTTTTTTTTTTGCTTTTCATATTTTTTAAATGCACACCCGCCAATGCCAGCAAACAACTGCATAATGGTCCAGCTCTGCTCCGCTGGACCTCAGTAAATCTGCTGCTGTGGAGCTGCAGAGGAACAAATCCAGGTTTGAGGAAGGTTCACGTCGCTGCCCGTTAGCTCCATCACTCATTTCTGTGGCGTCTTTGGCTTCAGCACATTTTTTATTTTTTTCGCTCGCCTGTTTAGTCATTTAGATCTGAATATTGGCTGCTTTCCTGTATTTTATATTATTCTAAATTAAATATGTTGGGGTTTTTCATCAAAAGAGGCTATTTGTGTCTATTAGTTTGGACTCAATTATGCCTGCCAGCATTTTTTTTTTTTACACATTTCTGGCATTTTATAAACTAAATGATTAATTAAGTACGTCATATAAATACATTAAAAAAACAGACATTCACCGGTAATGAAAATAACAATTAGTTACATCTGAGGGGTGAACAATTAATCAAAATATGATCAAAATCGCTGCGTGGGAAAGTGCCGTATACAAATCACAGGAGATGCAATTTTGTGATAAAGGTCAGATGCGTCAGAACGTTATGAATGAAGCGCTGTGATGCTCCCAGTGTACGAGTCACATGACGCTCATTAACGACCTGCTTATTAGCATGTGTATTATTAGCATACTGGCCTTTTATTATGAAGCACTTGTTCTGCATGACCTGATTCTACTAAGCACATTAGCACAGACTGTGTCTAAAAGCCTGTGCCTTAAATCTGCATTCTTACCACCCGCCAGCAGGGGGCGACGTCTCAGTTTGTCAGATTGTATAGAAGTCTATGAGGAAGTTGGCCGACTTCTCACTTGATTTGTCACCTCGGTCAGTATTTTTCTAATAAGTTTATGGCTTCAAACAATAGTTTCAAGTCTCCTTCAGTACGACATGATGTTTAATTTCAAAGTTATGGTTCACTTTAGAGGAAAATAGAAGATGAAGGAGGGTATGTGAGGAGGCAGCTTTAGAACGGGAAGCATGTTGGTTAATAAACTACTGTTTTGATCAAGACCTCACTTCAACAGGGAACATATTCTGAGTTAGCAAGACTTAATTTGGAGTTATTATATAGTCATTAGTAGTTTAGTGTTTGGCTACATAAGAAGAGACCATATTGGGTATGCTTATCTACATATCGGCATATACGTAGGGTTTTAATGATCACATTTAAATTAGTTATGCAAATTTGTATTATATTTAATATTGTATGATGCTAACTTTATTTATAAATCTAATATTAATGTAACATTAATCTAGTTTCTCAATTGGAATGTACTTTAAGTCAACGTCTGCTGTTTTAAATGCAAAATATGAGTAACAGTGACTTGACTTGACCTTATAATTACTGTAACATTACTTAGTATCAGCGAAATTATTATTATTAATTATTGAAGAACAACTCTTAGTTAATGAACTAGTAGCTCTCAATTCAGGTCATGAATTAATAAGTGCTTTATTATGACTAATAAAGACTCAATAGGCTACTAGTAATAATAATAATAATAATAATAATAATATTAGGAATTGATCAGATTCAGCTTTTCTAGACACTCAAAGATGCTTCACACTCTCAATTATTCATTCACACACATTCATGCCGGCGGTGGTAAACAGCCACAGCTGCCCTGGGGCAGACTGGCTGCCATTCTGCCCCTCCAACCACCACCTCAGACAATCCATTCATCCACACCAGGCCAGGTGGGTCAAATGTCTCGCCCGAGGACACAACGACCAGGTTACAGGGCGGAATCGAACCGCCGACCACCGACTCGCTCTGCCACCTGAGCCACAGCCGCCCCAATGTGTAATAATAGGAAATATATGTATTTTAAGTTTTATTGAAGGATTGAAGAGTTGCATGTTGTCAGCTTCGGTGTAGGGAAATGAAGCAGGAACTAGATTTTATACAGGCTGGAGAAGATGAACTTAATGAATCGAAGCCACTCAGAGTCACGAGGCAGAGACGACTCTCATGTGACGTGTTGTGAAGAGAAAAATGTCCTCTACAACATATAGAGTCATGCATTCACTTTTCAATCATGCTCAAGAATTCAACATAAGTTTTCCTTTTGCACTGAGTAAACTGCTGAAAACTGAAATATGTAATCAGCCCCCGAAAAAGTTAGAGGAAGTTGAGGAATTTAGAAGTGTGCATCCTACTGTAGTGTGCTATTCCCTCTGGTATTTTTAACCCAATTTCTGTGTTCCTTGTCAGGCAGCCTTTGCAAGTTGCTCGCTGATTAAGTTTCCCTACAGCTGCCCATTATGTAGGCCAGGAGCAGTTTGGTGATTTATGTGGCTGCACCTGAGGCGTCGGATGCAGACGGATAATGGAGGGTCAGAGTTCGCCGTCATTGATTTGCTGGAAATATTGTTTTCATCAACTGGTCTAATCCTGGCGGTCACACGGGCTTACATTAATCTCAGCATTTTAAACCTTCATTAGAGGCCCCCTTTGTCTGCAGTTTGCTTTCATTATTTGCTGCCATTTATGTGCTTTGCCGTGATGTGAGACTGTTTTTATCGCCTGTTATTGTGAGGCACATTGCAGAAGCGTCCCCGCAGCGCCGCACAGATTTGTTTTATATGAATGATTTGTTCTGGTAAATTTCTGCCGCCGTAGTAGTCGGTAGCAGGCTGAGCTTTGCTAAAGACATCACTTCAGCTGAGAAAAAATTAACTTTAGCATAGACGGATGGTTTGGGAGGGCGGCGCAATCACAGCTTGTTTTTGGCAATTTGGAGCAGCGCGAGAGAACATCAGACGCTCACTATTGCATTCTGTTTGCAGCTGAACGAGATGATCCGAGCGCCGGTCGAAGGGGATTTCTGGCAGGTCGACCACATCCGGCCGGTGTACAGCGGAGGAGGACAGTGCTCTCTGGACAACCTGCAGACGCTCTGCACCGTCTGCCACAAAGCCGTACGTGAACACTGCGCTCCGCTGCACCCATAACAACCGCAACGCCGGCTTTTAAAGCCAAAGGGCTTAAGGGGCAAAAGCAATTTGTCTAACATTTAAGGTGCACACTGGATGGATCTCTCCTTTATCCTCGTATAAAGGAAAGTCTCATCACTCATGCTGAGGATCATATGTGGTGGCAGTAATGTGATCCATGGTCAAACACATTGATCAAAAGTCAGAGCAGCCCACACAGAGCTATATATTGCCTTTAATAACATCACATGATGTGGCTGTATGACACATTGATATATAGCATTTGTTGGAAAATGCTATATATCTGTCTGGGGAACATTTTCCTTCTTGAGCGTCTTCAGTCAATATTTCATAATTACAGACAATCCACTTCTTAAAAACAGAGCTGATCTCAGAGCAGAGGTTTCAACATGAAACACAGCTCGCATTGTCGCCTCAAATGTGCTTTGCTTTCACGCCAGAAAGCATTTTTGTCAGAGTGGGTGTCAGTTTGGAAGGAAGCGCTTCGTGCGTTGACGTATATAAACTGATGTGGAGACCTGCACGTTCTGATAAGGGGATCCTCTCGCTGTTTATGCCACCGCGCAGACACTTTAATCTAGAGATGCTCAATATATTGATCTCACTTTTCTCTTCAGCTGCCGACTGCAGATTTAACCTCTTACATCATGTTCCATTTTTCTCCACAGAGGACGGCTCAGCAAGCCAGAGAACGGAGCCAGAGGAGGAAGAGCGCTGCCGCTTCCAAGGTTGCGTCAGACATCAGCAGGTTCTTCATCAGGAAATGAAAAGGCAGAAAGGTTTAGTAAGGGGCTGTTGATTCAGTTTGGATAAAGATGTGTCGAGTTTTCTCACCGAGTTAAGTATCAGACGTACCCCCGCCAGATGTTTCCTTTGAGTCTCTTAAATATTCTGCCTCACTTTCTCACGATATCGTCGGCGTCCTGCCGGACCAAATTACAGAGGAAGGTGAAATGGTGCAGATTTACCTGAAAAACAGCGAAGACTGCATCAAATGCAAATTCAGCCAACTCCCCGCTCGTCCCCGAACCGTCACAAGTGCGCCGGTTTTGATTTATGACGGCCCCCTTTTTTTGCTCGAGGCTGAAATGGAGCAGGTTGTTTAGAGAGATGCTGCTATTTTGAGATTTTGCAAACTTGGTGAAAAGTAGCAGGTGAGAGATGAATTGGGGGCTTTGTGATTAAAACTCTACAGCAGCAAACACACCCAGGTGTCCTCATTGGTGCTCTCAACAAGTGTCGCCTCTCTTTGGAAGGACGAGAGTGAAATAAACGCCGTCTTCGTCTCGTTTCTTCTCCTGTTCCTCTGCTGCTTTAACCGCAATTTGGACTGTAAGCACACCAGGACGTTGGTTGTTCCGACAAGCTAGCAAATCGTTTCATCGCCTCAAGTCAGGAACATTATTGTCCATGTTCACGCATCTACCTCCTCTTCAGCTGTGCTTGATGATCTGAGCAGAGCTAAAGTCAGTCAGGAGGGCTATGTTTAGAGAGACGGAGAGCAGAGTTACTATGGAAACAAGGCTTCAGGTTCAGCCATGTCGGGAATATTGAATCTTGTCTTGTGAGAGTTATACAATGAGCCAGACAGACATTAGAAACTCCAATCAATATCAGCAGGCTCCTGTGAAAATGAGGCCGTCACATTCCTCCACAGCAGGGTTTTCGCTTCGCCTCTCGGCTCCGAGGCTCCGCCGTCGACGTCGCGCACGTCGTCGTGTCACGATTTGTCTGTCTGTCAGCCGCGTCAAACTCCTAGCTCAGCAAATTCCGTCATCCCTGGAAAGTTTTAAATTTTTTCTGGCAGCCCCAACTTCTCGCAGCCTATCAGAGCCGTCGGCAGGAGCCACAGCTTCAAACTTTCTCGGAGCCCATGTGGGTGAACGCGTGGGTGTGTGTGTATTTCCCCTACGGCTGCTCCAGGTCTCCACTTAATAAGGCCGTTGTTCCTCTCCTGTCCAAACCGACAAGCTTTGTGAGTAATGAACATCTCCCAGGCAGCCTTCCAACAACAGCAGGTTTCAGTGTCAGTCCCTGTCAGCAGCCAATGACTCTGATCTGCTGTTTTATTACACCCAAAAGGTGTGTGTGTGTGTGTGTGTGTGCAGCAGAGAGAAAGTGAGCGAGGTAGAAAAGTAGCGGCAAAGTGTCGCCGAGCGGGTAAAACGTGTGTGTTTGGCAGCGGGAAAAAAGGTGTGTATTGGAAGAGAGGAGGAAGTGTGTTTGTCAGACGAAGCCATAATGAGGCAGCGCCCCGATGAAGACGTCTCGCGTTGCTCCCAGAGGGGCTTCTGGGTAAAGAGCAGCGCTGCAGCCGCGTGACACTGTTTGCGTTGGACAACCTATCAGCCCAGAGGAGAGACATTACCTCCGCAGGTGATGACAGTAATAAAGACGGACTCAAACACCGACGGACAGCCGCCGAGGTTCGCATGTTTGCTCTCCACCTAACGCGCCCCCCGCTTCCTTTCCTTAAAGTCAGCATTAGAGACAAACTCAACTTTTTTTTTTTTTTTTCCCATCAAGTGAAATCAACAGAGATGTTTCTGCAGGTCACGTAGCAACACGGCGTGCATACGTGGCCAGAATTAGCCCATCAGATAGCTGGCGGAAGTAATTACATAGAATTAGAAAATTACAGGATAGTGACAAAGAAAAGACAGTCGAAAAAGTAGAGAAAAACAGCAGCAAGTGTGGAGAAAAATGAGCACCGAAAACCTGAGGTGATGTTCGATATTTTTCTTTTTGGTCAGTGGTTCCAAAAATCAACAACGAGTGGATCCGTCCTACAGGTTGTGTGTGTGTGTTTCTGAAACCCTGTAATATCGCTCCTCTGAGCCGCCGAGTGTCCAGAAACTGTTCATTAAAAACACGTCTGGGGCGCCTTTAGCTTCTGCAATATAACGCTGGACCGATTCCAAGTGAAAATGTAGTAACAAGAGACCAGTGGCTAACGCTGCTAGCCAGTGTGCTAGCGTGTTTCTGCTGCTGACTGACCGGTTTACTGCACAGTTCTGAGCCAACAGAAACATTACGGTGATCGTTATGGATTAAAATATAAAGATATCAATTCCTGAGGAGAAATGCATGTGCTGCCCTGAAGCAGATGAACTATATGAAGAAGTCAAATTACAAACGCAATGAGCGCATAAATGCATCAGTAATTATAATCCAATAATATTCTGATATGCTGTTTTGCTTAATTAGTACTTTTGCTTTTTTTAAAGATATCTTTTGATGCTAATACTAATAAAATTTGACTTCTAAGAGTATTTTTACACTGTGGTATTGTTATTATTATACAAGATTTGAATACTGTTGACTCTGAACTGTTATAATTGAACAGATCCACATGTTCTGGGTCTGTTTTTCTATTTTTAAATGTTCAAATTGTTATATTTCAGAATACATTGATTCTATAGACCTACAACTTAAGGAATGTAAAGGAAACTTGTGTAACGGTTGGAAGTTTAGCACAAGAATTGTAGATTAATTTAAGTTAAGTGAGTCTTTATATGTTGTTTTCATGATTAGCTTGATTAGCTTGAGCAACCTGCTTCAGTTTTGTGTTCTACACATTAGCTTGTTGCTAGCTGATGCTAAAAAAGAAAAAAAAAGAAGTAAGGTATAAAGGAAGTTTTAGAATTTTTCTGAGAAAAGTTATGCTAACAGAGATGCTAAAATTAGCCTATTGGTGCCTTTAGCTTTAGCTTTAGCTGTCCTCAATATGGAACTCTTATCAGGAAGAGGAGAAATAATTAACTTTTTTGACTTCACTTTTCTTCTAAATATTTTTGTTGACATGTACATGAAATTTTTTTCAACCAACATCCAAACACATAAGTCTGCCCCGAGCTAGCGCTCTGCTAACCGCTACGCTCACAAGCTAACAGAGTTAAAGCTAGCTTGTAGCATCAAATCACAACTGGATAAATGTACGTACAGTTTAATGTAAAGACTCTAAAATGTGTGTATTAGTTTCTGTTCAGTTGCCTCATTTTGTTAATGTGGTGTGTTCATCCGCTGTTGGAAATAGTCCCACAGAAATCCAATAATCACACCTGTTTGTGTCACGTTAGCGAAAACCTACGGTGAGACTAACACGTTGTTGGCTTGGATCATCACATCATCATCAAAAAGAAGAAAGAAAAGCGTCACATTTCCTTCGCACGGTAACACCAGAGATGCCGGTGTTTCTCAATGTGGGTCAGAGGCCCTCCAGGGGCCTGGGTGGGGCTCCTGGGGGTCCAACAGCAAATTGAGAAATAGATTAATATCGCTGTAACTCAATTCCACTGGAACTACCTCAATTACAGATATTACATTAGGTGTAAGAAGGATTATTGTAATTTTCGGGGGTTTATTCTCAGTATCATGTCCCCACAGGTTGAGGTGACAGAAGGCGTCTTTTTAGGGGTCTGTGACATTCAATTGTTGGAAAACTGCTGTTCTAACCAGGCGAGACTTTACAGTAAACTATACAAATCATTCATAATTCAATCAGGATTTGCATTCAGACAGCAAGGCGTTATATTCTGGCCCCATTCCATTGGTTATTCCATTTCAACCTCGCCTGCCCCCATAATCTACTTTGGCCTTTTCAGCTGAAGGAAGCGCTTCTACAAACCCAATCTTGTGTGACAGGTGTGATGGAGAAGGGCCAATAAAAGCCTGCACAGCGCGCTGCGTGCAGCCGCCGGCTCTCCAATCCGTGGCTGAATCCTGCTGTGGTTTGATTCCTGGCTGCCATACTCTCCGCTGTGATCCCTCTGTGTCTGTGACCCTCCCTGCCCTTCAGCGAGGAAAAGGAAATAGACGCGAGGGAGGCCGAACCCCGCTGCTCTCCTTCAGGAATGAAAAACAGCCGCGGCACTGTCTCTGTCATGCCAAAGCACCTCTGATATTCTGTCATTTGGTGGAATGCGAACCGCAGAACCTCATTACAGGAACGGAATGAACCTCCAGTCAGACCTCTGCGGCGCCGTGGTACAACATCGACAAAGCTTGTATTCTAAAAGGCTACACCCATATCATCTAATTGAACTCCGGAGTCGACGTTTAGGAGGCAATTCTTGGCTTTAAACAGCCACAGCCGACGAGAGGCTTTTGTCTTTATTGTCATTTTATCTCTCGGGATGGTGATGAGATGATTAATCATTTCCTGCCGCAGCCTCTCGCTCGCAGAAAGGCTGGCACCGCTCGGCGGAGCGCGACGCCCTGGGTGGAGGAAAACGGTATTATGGCCCAGGTAATTGGTGGAGGACCATCACTCATAAGCGATCTAATTAATCTCATTAAAACACCCTCTCTGGTTGCGCGGTGATGATTCTTGAGGACCAACAACCAGCAACAGAAGGCATTTTCCAAAATGGGCTTATCCATCCTGATGAGTGTCATATACACAGATGATATTGCAGCTGAAGCGAGTAACAGAAAATCGATACAACAATTCCATGTAAACCTCGGCAGGCTATTTTCAAATGTCATTCGGCGTAGTAGGGGATGTGCACTGGTAAAAGGATGCTTTCTCATTGCTCAGCTGGAGACGGCTTTTGTCAAGTCCAAATTCTATTTATTCAAGATGGCTCCCTGGTTGTCTCCCAAGATGCATGGCATGCTGCGGATTAAGACCAAAAACGCAATCAATTCACCCAGCAGGAGATCAGGGGAAATAACAGATAACGTTCTTAGCATAATTCATACAGGCCCCAATCTGGCCAGGATTAATGTATGTCTTGGCCGCGGTTCGCTCTCATTTGTATGTCGGAGCTTGTGCGGGGCTAAATTGGCGCTTCATGTGGTCCATTACAATCAGGCTTTGTTTGAAAAGGCCCCTGTGAGGACTGGATCTGACCACGTTGTTTTACAAGGCAACTGTACTTAATGCAATTTAGGACTGATGTAATCTCATCCATATTTTATAGAGATGTGCTTCTACAGCCGGCTGCGTCAGCACATTAATCTGTGCATGAACCCTTAAAAAAAAAAAGACAGACGTATGTGCAGCGTTAACTCGACATATAGTTCATACACAGAAATGCGACATGCAGGCACACAGGAGTCCCGGCGACACTTGACATCAGAGGAAGAAAGCCACAGTGGGCTACTGTATTAGCGCTTTCCCCTTTCATGTGCGCTGTGTTCAGATGATTGAGGTTAAAAATGGAAAGCCGAACAAAACGCCCTCCAACAAGTTCCCTTTTCAT